GTCAAAATCCCTTCCTGAGACCAGGGAGAGACAATGTACCACTTGACTCTGGTCCTAAAACTGTAAACTATCTTTTACACTCTTAAGTTCTATAACATTTTTATTTTTTTTAATTGTGGAATTTGGGGGATGGGAACAGTGCTGGGGAATTGGGGGAAGGGGAACAGACAAGTTGCTGTCCTTTTGTTCTTCAGTCTAGTTGTAGAGGACATTGCTTCACTGGCCCAAGTTGGCACCATCATTGCGCTCTTCCTGGGTGAGGCACATCAGTCGCCGGCTTCTGGACGGCCGCTCACTGAGGCTGCTGGCCGCTCACGCTGGCTGCTGGCTACATACGGTAGCCCATGGCAACCCACTGCCACAGGGGCTGCAGCCTACGCCGTCGCCAGCGACTCACGGCAGCCCAGCTCCAGGTTGAGCTGTTGTTCAGCATCTCAGCTGTAGAGGGCAGTGTCACTGGCCCTCATATGTGGGATCCGAACCAGGGCCCTCTGGCGTCCCAAGCCAGTTTTTAACCATCGCGCCACTCGGTTGGCCCTCTATAACATTTTTTAATCAGTCTTCCACACAGAAACAGTACAATGAAGTAGTCTGAAAAGTATCTGTCTATATAACAGAAAACAGACTCTCAATATAATAAACATCCAAAAAACAATTTATTCATTCACAAAATGAATACTGAGCGCTTGTTATGTGGCAAGATCCTTGACCTTAAGCATTGTACAATCTAGTGGGAAAAAACACTTATCTATCTATCTATCTATCTATCTATTATATTTATCTATCATCTATCTCATATCTCATGAGACATAACATGCATATAGATACTGTAAGAGCACAGAAAAAGACAATTCTCCAAGCCTATATAGACAGATGTATGACGTTAGCTGTTGTTCTGGATTACAAAATGGAAATGGCTTAACTGTGTTTCTACACAAATCTGTGTTGGTTATCATCTCTCTGTTCCAAGCCTACCCTTTTATTTTCTGCTTTGTGATCCTATGACCAAGATCTGCACACTGCATTTCCCAGGCTCAATTTAGGTTCTGCCAACTGAAGGCATCTTAGAGACTGGAAGGTGGCAGAAAAGAAAGGAATTTATTGTTTCCAGGTCTTGTCAGCATCTCTAGCTGCAGAGGATAGCTACAGTTCCAGCTTCCAGTTCCGAGCACCAACAGTGCTATCCTCCCACCAGAGTTAGGAGCTTTAATTTAAAGTTAATTTGCTTTAGCTAAGTACAGCTTTACAGGGTGCTCCTCAAGGGTCAAAACAAGAGCGATGTTGTGGCCCCTCCTTTGAACTCCTAGGTTCTGGGTAACCTCAGAACTTTTTATCTTTTGTTTCCTCAATCATAAGAATGGTTGATGCTTCCTGAAGTTACTACTATCTGGGGGCTTACCTCAATGTTTCCTTTTTGCTCTTTTAGTTTTCCATCTATATGAACATATCCAACTCCTGTATTAAATCCGCTTTTTTAAATACTTACTGTGGTTTCTGTTCTCCTGACTCATACAAAACCTAAACATAATGCTCTTAAAACATAAACATGGGCCTGCCGAGTGGCGCGATGGTTAAGAGCTGGCTTGGGATTCCAGAGGGCCCCGGTTCGGATCCCACATATGAGGGCCAGTGACACTGCCCTCCACAGCTAAGATGCTGAACAACAGCTCAACCTGGAGCTGGGCTGCCGTGAGTTGCCGGCAACAGCGTAGGGTGCAGCCCCTGTGGCAGTGGGTTGCCATGGGCTACTGTGTATAGCCAGCAGCCAGCGTGAGCGGCCAGCAGCCACAGTGAGCGGCCGTCCAGAAGCCGGCGACTGATGTGCCTCACCCAGGAAGAGCGCAATGATGGTGCCAACTTGGGCCAGTGAAGCAACGTCCTCTACAACTAGACTGAAGAACAAAAGGACAGCAACTTGTCTGTTCCCCTTCCCCCAATTCCCCAGCACTGTTCCCATCCCCCCAATTCCCCAATAAAAAATAAAAAATAAAAATCTTTAAAAAAAAAACCATAAACATGACTTGTTTTGGTGAACTAATATTAAAGGGGATATATATCAGTAAGCAAATGTATATGAGATGAAGCATCCAAAGACAAGTTAAAAAATGATAATTTATGGTACTTTTCGCATTTTCTATTCTACCTTCAGAGAGATAAAGCTTCCAGCCTTTGTATGGTATGAATTGATCCAATGTTGATTGTAGTAGCAAAGACTGTGGGGTTTGTTCTGAAAACAAAACACAATACTAGGTTAGCAGAAATAGAGCAAACGTTTTTTCCCTAATTTGCTTCTCCTTCCAACAGTAAGAACTTGACGTATTAATAGAGTATCTAAACTATAAGCTTCAGTAAGAAGTTTGGATATCAACTTTCAAATACTACCTTAAGGGGTTACATCAATAAAAGACAAATTGAAATTTAAGTTAAACTGTTTCGTATGCCAGGCATGAATAGATTCCTTCATGAAGGGGAAAAAAAAAAAGAATAATCATTGACCTCCCCTACCAGAAGCATGTTTTCCTGTGGTTTTACTCAGGTCAAGTCTGTGTCCTCTTTCTCTCCATTTTCCTGAGAAGCTCCCGCCGCCTCTTCCTCTTTTCCAGCTTTGAAATCTTCCTCGTCCAAATCCTCTACCTCTATATTCTCCATTCATGTCTTCTAGAAGATAGAGATTAGGAAAGTCTTCATCAACACTATAAGGTAAATAGTGCTCCTAAAAATGTATTAACATAGTAAATAGGTGAAAATTAATATATTCTAGTTTGAGACAGGCTTGCAACATTGTACACCATGGTATGAGCCCATTTCTCTTCTAATCTGCAGTTACTCTTCTAATCCTCATCTCTTTTTAAGGTATACCACAGATGTTTAACCAAGTATACTGAATTTTCATTAGATAAAAATAAGGAGGTACTGTACCTGTTTTCAAGGAGCTCCCACAATAGAAATGAAAGCAAAACAGGCAATTAACTCTGACATAACTTGTTTGCAGTGTTTTGAGACTTACAGCGCAGCACTGGCTGAACATAATCCCGGCCTGTGAGACACCAGGAATACATCATCATAGCTCCTTCTATATAGTCAATCCTGCAGTGTTTTACCCACTTTTATCAGGGGTACAAGGACATTCTTATATAGGCATCTAAGGTGGGCCTTTCTGGGGAAGCACAGGAGTGGGACAGGGTGCATATATACATGTTTCAACCTTACAACCAGATTTCCAGAGCTGTCTTATAATGACAATGGAAGCAAGATCAATTCTAGGTCAGTATTGACTAGATGGGTTATTTGTAATTTTTAGATAAATTTGTTGGAATACAAACTGTTTTGGAAAGCATACCCATATCTGTTAATACTGCATTGTAATTATAATCTTTTTTTGCTAATTATCCTTTCACATTTTTTCTATTTTGTTACATAGCAAGGTACTTTTTATTAAACCCAAACCCATAAAGGTACTTCCTGGCTAAGTATCAATAAATTGAAATACAAGTGACCTTTAAAGATGGGTTTTAAAATAATTCATATAGGTGGAGCACAGGGCATTTTTAGGGTAGTGAAACAATTCTGTATGATTCTGTACTGGTGTACATATGACATTATATACCGTATTTCCCCATGTATAAGACACTCCCATGTATAAGATGCACCTTAATTTTGGGGCCTGAAATTTGAAAAAAAATGTATTACATAAAGTTACTGAACTCAAGTTTTATTCATCATAAAATTCATACAACTCCTCATTTTCAGAGAAAAGCGGGAAATGCAAGTAAAAAAAAATCTACAACCACTGTATAAGACGCACCCAATTTTTAGACCCCAAATTTTTTGGAAAAAAGTGCATCTTATACATGGGGAAACACGGTACTTGTCAAATCTCATGGAACTATACAACACAAAGAGTGAACCCTAATGCAAACTCTGAACTTTGGCTAATAACAATGTATTGAATTTGGTCCCTCGACTGCAACAAATGTATCACACTAATGCAGGATGCTAATGGAGGAACTGAAGGTCAGGGGAGAGAAAAGAACATATATGGCAACCCTGTGTGCTTGGTGCAATTTTTCTGTAAACCTAAAACTGTTTTTAAAAAGTCTATTTTAAAAACTAGTTCCTATCCTACAGATAAAAATAAGAATATATCCCTATACTGTAGTGCAATTCATTGCGAGAATGTATTCAAATCTTTGTTTAATGGGACTTAGGTAATAAATAAGTTAATAACTAAAGAAGTTCACGATATTAGGGTAAGCCAGGACTTTGCTAATCATCTAAACATCACACGTTAAGAAACTAAAGCCCAGAGAAACTGATCAAGACCAAAGTTGTTTGGTGGCAGTACTAATTTCAAAACTCCGTCTTCACTCTCCCAAGCTGAAGCGCTCCTTTCACAACGCTATGTGTCATCTTCCTCAAACGGGATAATAGAGAACAGCTAGTAAAAAATCCAACACAAATGCAAGAAGTAGGACTGGAGAATGAGCAAAGGAGCCTCCGGTAGGCCTGCTGGGCTTCGTTAAATACCCTACTTCACTTACGTCTCCTCAGGCCAAGTTCTTACTGGCAAAGGATAGCGGTCCCAAAGCTTTCCTAGTTCACGCCCGGCCGGCTTCCTTCCCCTCGGGGAAAACTCGGCGGGACCGAGAGGAGACTCCGAGGCCCGAGGTCCTCAGGCGACCCCTGCCCAGGTCCCGCGGTTCTCTTCGGCTGAGGCTCTCTGACGTCACCTGTGCACAGGGCCAAGTCTAACCTGTCCCAGCGGCTCAGGGACCTCAGTTTCTCCATCCAGGCCCCTAAGGCTCGGGGAAAGATATAGCGCCTCAAGCTGACGTGCAATCTTCTTCCAAATTGCTTTTTGGCGCTGCTGTGACGCAACTTCCGTCCAAGGAACAGCGAGACGGGAGAGGCGGGACGGAGGACAGCCAATCAAGGAGTTCGACCAGACGGAAACCGTGAGGCTCCCGCGCGCTGCTCAGAGGGTCTGACCGGAAAGCGGAAGTGGCGCTCAGCACGTGGGGGCGGTGCCGGACAGAGAAGGTGTTGAGTCCCTCTTGGTTTGTGGGAAGTGAGGCTGGCAGCATCGACAGTGGAGGGCGACCGCCGGGGAGCAGAAGGCTGGGAAGACGCTGCAAAGCACGGGGACCCGCTGAGCGTCATGGAGGGCTCAGGGGAGCAGCCGGGCCCACAGCCACCGAATCCCGGGGACCACCGCATCCGCGACGGCGACTTCGTGGTGCTGAAACGGGAAGATGTGTTCAAAGCAGTTCAAGTCCAGCGGAGGAAGTAAGTCAGGTCGCTGGCCTTAGCGGTCCCCCACTCCCATCTTCTAGATACACCTTCCTCCAGGTCCTCCCACAGAACCCTCCCACCAGGGTCCCAATTCTTGGCTCTCTGGATCCCCAGCCTCCTCTCTCGTTATCTCCTCTCAGATCTTCCCACAAAGACCTTTTTCCCCCCAGGACCCCATCCTCGGCCCTCAGGGTCTCCCTTACCCCTCTTGTCTTCCTACAGGGCCCTCCTTCCATGGTCTCATACCTGGCCTTCTGCCTTCAGCCTCCATTTCCCATTCTTGGTCCTCGGGTGCCCCCCACCCCCACCCCATCCCTGTCCTGGAGTTCTTCCCCTGGGTTCTTGAGATCTCCTTCCCCCCCCCCCCAAAACCCACCCTCCATCCCCTGATACTATCCTTACATTTCAGAGTTCCCTGCCCCCCACCTCCCCTCCGCATAGCCCCATCTTCCTCCCTAATCCTTCAACCGGGATCAATCCCACAAAAAATGACACCTCTCCAACCTTGTCTGGGGTTCCTGGGCTCTTCTCTCTACCCAAACGGGACTACCTGTCTACACAGAATAACGTTAGGAAACAACTTCCCATAGAATGTGGGACCACTCTAGGGTTCCCTCATTTACCCCAGGGGATGCGAAGTTTGGGAAAGTTACAATTGCCCAAAGCAGTTAGCTCAAGGTCTCAGAACTTGAAATTAGGTTTGGTGTGTGAACCTGCTGATGCGTTATCGCTCTGATTTAGTATTAGAAAAGTGGGAGTTTTGAACTTTCTGGCAGGAATGGTGAGGTTGCCAAATCCTAATTGTTTATTAATGGTGAAAATGTTTGGGATGTTTTGGTTAATTATCTGAAAAGTACAACCAAGCTTTCTTTTGAGTTGGGTTATTATAGTACTTTTGACAAAGAAGTACGTTATTCGAATGCAGTCAGGAGAACAGCTTTCTGCAGACCATAATAGTAAGGCCAGGTATTGTGAGACTTGGAATTTCTCCTAAGTGCTCACGTCAGATGAATTATTTTACTTCTTTGTGAATCAAACTGTGGACTGGTGTTTAAAGCAAAACAGGTGTCATTAGAAAATAGTCTGGTAACAGTTCCCAAAGCACCAAACTAGTGAAAAGTAAGCTTTTTTGCACTAGCACCAATCCGCTAAAGAAAAAAAATACAAGGCAGGGATTCCTTTTAGTCCGGAAATATAATATGCGCACAGGCTTTTAAGCATTTTTAAATTCCCCTTTGATAAAATACTCATTTTGGTGGCTGAAATTAGAGAAACTTCTATAACTATCCCACATCACTACTTTATTTTGTATCCTCGAAACCAGTGGTTTTTACTTTTCAGAATTTCTGGTTAGAAATGTGTGCCTGCATCCAAGTACATAAGTTTTGGAAAGTGCCAATAATAATTATTTAAACTTTTTAATTGAAGTATAACAATGCTGCATAATTCTTAGGTTAAAAGTTCAATGAATGATCTCAAAGTTTTACAACTGTATGAGTGCAGGTGAAACTTTGATTTTTTTCTTTTCTTCCTTTCTCAAATTATCCTGTTAAGTTGCCCAATTTTGAATTGTGGTTGCTTGAGTACACTTCTTAATAGTGTGCTCTTCTAGACAAGAGCTCTTTCATTACCAAGGAAATAGCAGCATCTCTAGTCCAAAAAGTACTCTTTAGACTGTTTTTTTGTTTGTTTGTTTGTTTTAAATTGGAAATGCTTTTCATCACTTTTTCTTGGCAGAAGCCACAGAATGAATTTCCATTTTATTTAGAAAATGGGTTTCTGAGCTCAGCTACATCCTAGGCAAGACTTTCTCTTCACTCCTCCCTCAGGGCTGCACTCATCTGGTTGGGCAGAAGCAGTGTGGCTCTCTGAGAAAGAGACTGCAAATCCCGCTTTTTCCCAGTGAAGATGTGGCTCCACATCCCTCTGACTGGGCCCCGCTTTCCAGACTGGGGTAGAGACTTCCTGTCAGGCCAGTCAGTTTGGGTGATGCACCCGACCAGCTGCCAGAAGGGTGAACCCAACCTAACTCAGACCCAGGATTTCATTAGCACTGGGGGGTGCTCAAAGGATAAGGATGGGGTGGGGGTGGTGCACACCTGGGCTGAGCTGAGTTTCAACTTCTCTGCCAGGGTTTATGTCAGCAAATATTTTGAATGTCTGTTATGTGTTAGTAAGTAGGAGCTGGGATTCAAATACAAGTCTGCCTGACCGCAAAGCCTGGCTCTTTCCACTATACCGCACCATCTACCCAGCAAAGACCAATGAATCTCAGGAAACCCTGCCTAGCTTCAGGACATGGCCCACGTCAACAGAACCCTGACTCCTGGAATTTGCTTTGTGCCCCAACCCACACCTTCTCTTCATTTATCTGTGCCCCTGGAGGCTGAACATGACAGAATGCACAGACCACAACACCCAGGGTCCCTTACCGAAGGCTTCCCACCATTGTTAGACCCTGGGTGCATCACAAGTCTCTACTGGTTCACTAAACCTTACTACCCCTCTGAATGTGTATGTGTCACATCTTCACTAAATCTCCTCACTTGAACCATCTGAGTGAATGCGCGATCATAAGTGATCCAGACAGGGCCAATTCTCTTCTTTGCTGGGTCCTCATTTGTAACTGTGAATCTTGGGACAAGACACTTTTCCCTGAGCCTCACATTGCTCATCTGGAAAGAGCTATGTCCCAGGATTACTGTGAGAATTAAAAAGTATGAAGCATCTAGCACTTACTACCTAGCCCCTAATAAGATGTCAATTTTCTTCTTTTGAAAGGAAATGTTTGTGTTTTTCTGGAATTTTCCTTTTAAATTGTAGTAAAATAAAAAATTTGGGTACTATGAATAGTGAAAATTGCCTGGTCCTCAGTAGAACATTGTCAGTGTTAGGCACCATTTCCAAACATGTAGATTGTCAATAATGTTTATTTGTAAATATAATTTGCTTTTACTAGACAATTTTCAAAGAAAATGGCCAGTTAGGCCAGGGAATTTGTTCCCCAATGATTGTTCAGTTTTGAGGTTTTCTTGTGTAATTTGCAAGGGGTGTCACAGTGTGTGTCCCATGGCCTGACAATCTTGGCAAGTCTTTATGCTATTCAGGAGGTCTGCAAAGCCTGTGAGTTTGGACATCCTGTCAGTGCAAATTGGAGTCAGACCAATGCCTCAGAAGAGGAATGTCTTCTGTTCTTGTTTCTCATTCCAGTTCAGTGTTTTTGTGGTTTCTTTATTAATTTTATGTTTCTGCCCCAACCAGATTCTCTCTAGTCCATTTTTCAGTTCGTGTTCAAAGATAATACTGCTGATCATCCTGTATGGACCCCCATTTTGAAATAAACTAGATTGAACGTGTCTTTCCTAGACTGAATGCAAATCAGCTCATTGATTGCATTTTCTTCCCCAGAAAAGTAACTTTTGAAAAACAGTGGTTCTATCTGGATAACGTCATTGGCCATAGTTATGGAACCACGTTTGAAGTGACCAGCGGAGGAAGCCTTCAGCCCAAGAAGAAGAAGGAAGAGCCTACTTCAGGTACACTACTTTGGATGCATGAGATAGATGGCTCTAGAGCTGGCTAGTCAGAAACCTGTCAACCCCACTTAATTCTGAAGTGCTAGCCCAGACTATCGCTAAAGAAATCTGAACTCATAATCTAAGAACTATAGCTTGGTAGAATGAAGCAAGGTCTCCCTTTGGCTTTGAGACACCTGAATTCTGGCTCCAGCCCATCATTAACTGGCCCTCTGACCTTGGGCCATAAGTCCTTGCCACTTCAGTGTAAGAGCAGTTGCAGAGCATTTCAAAGCCCAGAGGTTAAGTAATAGCTGAGAGGTAGTTAGCATATAGGGTAGAGGATAAGAGCTCTGGCTTTGAGTTCAGCTGACTAGGGTTTAAGTTTTAGCGTCATTACTTGCCTTGTAACCTTGGGCAAGTTATTTGGTTTCTCTAAATCGATATCCTCATCTGTAAAATGGGGCCATAAACAAATTTCATGCCTAAGCTATAGCAAGTGTCCAGCCATATGACATATAGGGAAGTTCTTAGCAGTGCCTTGCCTATAGTAAAGGCCCCATAATTTTAGCCATTGTTATTAATTAAAATTAAATACTTAAGTATTTGTTAAAATAAATGTACTTAGAATATTTTACTAATAAAATAAAAATATGTAAATAATTATTAAAATAATTAAAATATGATTAAAGTTCTTTTGGGTTGTCAAAAAAGTCATGTTGCATTTTTGCATCGAAAAACAGAGATAAAAATGTCATGAATTTTCCAACAACCCAATAGTTCAAACCAGTTAATGAAGTACTTTAACATCCATATTTTTATTAAGCACCAAATCTGTTCCATGCATGATTAGGCACTGTGATTATAACAGTTCATGACATAGATCATCTCATAAACTTTATTTAGCAGTGGGGAACACCAAAAATAATCACATAGACAAGCAAACAGCATGATTTCAGATGGTGATGTGTGCTTTGAAGATGACAAAGCAGGAAGGTGTACTGAATACTAATTTGATGAGGTGACATTTAGCCAGGATGATGAGCTCAGCCCTGAGTGATAGAAAGGCTCCAGCCAATCAGCTCTGTCATAGGAGCATTCGAGGCAGAAGCAGCAGCAAGTGCCTGCAGTGAGACCGTGCTTGGGATGTTTAAGGAACAGGAAGGAGGGCACTGTGGCTGAGTACAGGGGTCAAGAAATGAGGCCAGACCTGCTGGAGCTGCCCAGATGCCTTGAGCACCGAGGATAGAGCCCAGGACCCTCCAGGGATGGGAGCTTGGTCAGGGGTGTGCTCGAATAGCAGAGTGGACGCTTCTGACGACTTTCTGAGGGCCTGCCTCCCGTGGCAAGATGAGGAAGGCCATGTCCTGCGCTGTGGCTTGGCTACACGCTGGGCCCTGATCCTCTCCCAGCACTTTTGGTGTTTGAGCACAGAATAGGGAAGATTCTGCTCTATTGCTGCGGCAGTGCCTGTGGCTGATGTAGAGACGGGAGGGACAGCCATGTCACGTAGAGCTGGGCATTGACTGGTTACGACATTTCCATGCGATTGTCCAGCAAACTTGCATCGGTTGTGCCGGGTTTTACAACTCACTGTTGCCAGTTAGCTGTGATGGACCTGGAGCAAGGTTTACTTTGCTGAGTGTAGTTGGTATTCTAAGGTGCAAGTGAATTTTCTACACATCGTGCACGTGCACTCCTGGGTTTTAGCAGTCATTCACTTCTGTACCCAAACGTGGGCATGTGCGGGCACCCAGTCAGTGTCTGCTGGGCCATACGCTGTGACAAGCAGGCCCTGTGGATCCTGTGACTGTCTGGCGCCTGCATGATGTGCATTTGATAACTCCATTGTCAAATATTCATTTAAGTGCTTCCAGGAAAAACAATTCATGTAATCCAGGCTCTAAATTGTATTTAATATTTAAGGAGTGTGTTTAACACTCAAAGACAAAAATCAGCTTATTTTGCATATAAGAACTGCTTTTTTTAATGCTAATAAATCAAGCACTGCTCATGAAAAAAAGAAAAAGGAAGAAATGAGGCCAGAAAAGGTAGCCAGGAGCCAGATTATATACAACCTTGCAGATCATCTTTAGAATGTATTCTATTTACTACAGGAAGCTGCTGTGTGGATTTTGTGCATCGGAATAAATGAGCCAATCTGCATTTTAAAAAGAGAACTCTGGTGTCCAGGTGGATTGTAAGGGGGCAAGAGTGGGAGCAGGAAGATGAGTTAGAGTCTTCGAGTAGTGGTGGCCGGAAAGGATAGTGGGCTAGGGCAGGAGCAGTGGAACCGGAAGGCCAAATTTGAGTGGCTGATGGGCTGACTGTGGCATGAACTTTAAAAGAAGAAAGATTTTCAAACAATATCAGATCATAAATGTCATAAAGCAATTTCCTTCTTTAGAGACCAAAGAAGCGGGCACTGATAATCGAAATATAGTTGATGATGGGAAATCTCAGAAACTTACTCAAGATGACATAAAAGCTTTAAAGGACAAGGGCATTAAAGGAGAGGTAATATTCAAAGGATATTGTGTTCTGTTTTTGTTTGGTATTTAGGGAATTGCTTGGTTTTTAAAGCAGACTTGACCTAAGGTAAATTGTAAAAATACTTTATACTTCTTTTAGAATTAGATTGAAATGTATGTGCAATTCAGCATATGAAAAATTTAATGTCTTATATGCAGGGATATAAGTGAATGACATTACTGATATTGATAGCAAAGGACAATTTAATAACTTAGTGCATCTCAGAATTTCACTTTGTTTTTCTCAGTAATGTTTTCAGCCAGGGTCTTCAAGAATGAGAGGTTCCTGTACCTCTCTTCTTTCTTTATTGTATATCTCTGTTCTTTCATTTTGGTTTAAATGGAGCTATAAAGCACTTGCATTTGAATACAAATTCTAGATAGAATAAAAAAAAAATACAGAGTTTACCCACTTGGACTTCTGTGGAAAAGGGACTGGAGAATCAGACCTTTGGCTACATTCCGGGGTAAGAAACCTTGAAGTGATCTGTTCTGTGAAAACATAGTTTCAGGAAATCTGCCTGCTCCTTTTCTTATAGGAAATAGTTCAGCAGTTGATTGAAAATAGTACAACATTCCGAGACAAGACAGAATTTGCTCAAGATAAATATATAAAAAAGAAGAAAAAGAAGTAAGTAGTAACTGTTGGGAAAGGATGGAAACAAATCTTTTTGTAGATTTGTAAAATATAGTATTAAAAATAAAGTATTTTTAAACTGTTTTTTAAAAATTGGTGTTCGTTTTTTTCTTCCCTCAGATATGAAGCCATCGTTACTATTGTGAAACCATCCACCCGCATCCTTTCAATTATGTATTATGCCAGAGAACCTGGAAAAATTAAGTACGCTTTGTTTCCTTTTAAAAGTATAGTTGGGGGAAAATATAGCTTAAGAAAATTATGATTTTAAGTAAAATGAAAAACTTACAGCGCTTTCCTTTGGGCATGTCAACAGCACTTATCTCCTCAGATGAGAAGCAAGTATGGATGTTTAAAAAACAAAAGCATACAGTAGTCCTTCCTTATCCACAAGAGATACATTGCAAGGCCCTCAGTAGATGCCTGAAACCACAGATAGGACTGATCCCTATATAGACTATGTTTTTTCCTGTACATACATACCTATGATAAAGGTTAATTTATAAATTAGGCATAGTAAAAGATTAACAAAAAATAATAAAATAGAACAATTATAACAATATACTGTAATAAAAGTTATGTAAAAGTGGTCAAAAAACAACTTGCTAACCTACATAAAGTACCCCCCTCCACATAAATTGTAAGTCCTTTTTACGACTGCCTCCAAAGCAATCAATAATCTTATCAACATACTTTTTATGAAACAAACTAAACTTGAAAAATGACGATTAAAGTAATAGGCTTTTCCTAACTACAAGTGAATGAATCATTCTTTCTTCCTCAGCCACATGAGATATGATACACTAGCCCAGATGTTGACATTGGGAAATATTCGTGCTGGCAATAAAATGATTGTAATGGAAACATGTGCGGGCCTGGTGCTGGGTGCAATGATGGAACGAATGGGAGGTAAGATTTAACATTTTCAAGTTCCTGAAAACCCCACCATGATTTGAGTAGAGGGGGTCTAAAAAAATTCAAACTCATAGCAAGTGAAGTTGAGTTACTATGAGGTTAATGAAATGACATGGGTTGGCCACCGGTGCAGTCCCCTGGGACCTTTCTGCACAGTCCCCATCTTCCAGCCTGCATTGCATTGGCATCCCCGGATGGCAGTTGTCCTTTCTAGCTTCACTCCCAGTGGGGATGGTTCTGAAGCCTGTGGCTGGCCAGGACCACCAAGACAATGATTTCAGTCAACTCTGGATAGCTGTTGCTCATGTTACTGGCCTGAATTGAGTGGGAAGAGTACAACACAGCCTGATTTGCCTGCCCTTTCTCCGTCCCCTTACAACAGCGGTTCTCAACCTTCCTAATGCCGCGACCCCTTAATACCAGTTCCTCATGTTGTGGTGACCCCCAACCATAAAATTATTTTCGTTGCTACTCTATAACTGTAATTTTGCTACTGTTATGAATCGTAATGTAAATATCTTTTTGTTTTCCGATGGTCTTAGGCGACCCCTGTGAAAGGGTCGTTTGACCCCCAAAGGGGTCGCAACCCACAGGTTGAGAACCGCTACCTTAGAAGATAAGAACCTTTAACTGCCCTGTTTTAGGACTGGACGGGATGTAGCTGAGCGCCAATCACCAATCAGGCGACATCCAAATTTGTGTGATCACAGGGTTTTACTGTAATGTCAAGTGGGGGTTAGCTTCTTTAAGACTTCCTGTGTCTCTTTTGGAATTATATTACATCATTGGGAATATTCACAGACTCCAGACTGACCCCCAGAGGAGCTGCATCCCCCTTCAAACTCCACACAGAGTAGACACACCTTCAGTCTTCTTACTGTGGAGGATCTGGAGGGTTTGTATAGTCTCAAGTCACCTTCATTAGGAGATGTTCGTTTCTTTTATCCAGGTTTTGGCTCCATTATTCAGCTGTACCCTGGAGGTGGACCAGTTCGGGCAGCCACAACCTGTTTTGGATTTCCCAAATCTTTCCTCAGTGGTCTTTATGAATTCCCCCTCAACAAAGTGGACAGTCTTCTAAATGGAACATTTTCTGCCGAGATGTTATCTTCAGAGCCAAAAGACAATGCTTCGGTTGAAGAAACTAATGGCACCCTGGAGGAAAGACAGACTTCAGAACAAGAGAACGAAAACAGCATAGCGGAAGCTCCAGTGAGCTATCACCCAAAAAATCAAGAAACAATGGAAATTGTCTCTCAAGATCAAGACTATAAGGAGGCTAAAGAGAGAGGAAGCAAAAAGGATTATGTAAGAATGTTAAAGAGTCCCCACTGCCCTCATAATATTCCCCTCAGGACCTCAGTTAATTTCATTTAAACACTGAGATTGGATTTGGCTTTGGAACATCAGTTCCCAAAAAATAATAAATATCAAACCAGATGGAGAAAGAGTGTGTGGGGATGTGGGGGAAGTGCACCCACCTTTGTGATATTATCTTTGGGATGAAGCTTAAGGGTACAAGAAGCATTGCATGTAGGTAGCTTCACGATGGCTTTGTAACTTGGGCTTTCTTGTGTGTTTTCAACTTCCTTATAGATGACCTCCTTCTGTTGCTTTAGTCCAAGCTGATAAATATTGTTGAAATGTTTTGACAGACCAGGATTCCCATAAGCCTGACTGAATGACCTCAGTATGTTGGTACTTATTTTTCTTCTTCAAGATTCAGGAAAAGCAGAGGAGACAAGAAGAGCAAAGGAAAAGACAACTAGAAGCAGCTGCTCTGCTGAGTGAAAGAAACGCAGATGGGTGCGTTGATGATAATGCAGGAGACACCTTGGTGCTCGTGGGCTCTGCTTCAAACAGACTAGCGTTCTCTGCTTGTCTGCTTTGATAACGGTGGGAGCAGAGATGATGATTTTGTCTTGGGGTTTTAAAGAAAGGAGGCTGCGTCTGGTGGAGGTGGGAAATTGTGCTGGTTTCAGAGTTTTAAAATAAATTTGAAATTTCTCCAATGAGGGTGCATCAGATGCAGCTGTATAGTCCTACTTGGTGTAGGTGGTGGGGCATTCAAATGGATGTGATACCGGCTAGCGGGAGGGCTAGGAAATCTGACATGGAGAGAGATTCAGATACCCACAAAGCCAGTATCACAATGTTGGGATTTGTTTCCATGTGATTTGTTTTTTTTAATCAAGAATGTTAATTGCTACTTATGGTTGCTAAGCACCGTGAGAGCTTATAATCCAATTTGTGTTTACTAGAAAGCAATAGCTCATGATTTTATTGTTTAGAATTTCTGGAATGTTCTATTTAAAATTCTTCCTTGTGTGAGTCCTGCAAATAAATACACGGTCATTTTAAATGCATTTTAAAACCTATACTCCATTTTGGGCACATAGAGAAATAATATGGCCAACATTTTTCTTGCAGTTTAATTATAGCTAGTCGTTTTCATCCCACTCCACTGCTGCTTTCTCTGCTGGGTTTCGTGGCCCCTTCCAGGCCGTTCGTGGTCTACTGTCAGTATAAAGAGGTAAGAGTGAAACAAATGGATGGGAATTCTTGCATCCGAATGTTGATTCTCATATTGTGGCCCCAGAAGTAATTCTTTAAAGCACTCTGTTTATGCCTTCAGCCCCTGTTGGAATGCTACACAAAACTGCGGGAAAGAGGCGGAGTCATCAACCTCAGGGTGTCGGAAACCTGGCTCAGAAATTACCAGGTATGTGTTCTTACAGCCAGACCCAGGAGCTGCTCTCCTGGGCAGCTGGCTCCTTGCGGTAGTGCCGGGATGTGTTAAAAGCAGACATCGCCGTTTGTGTCTACAAAGATGAAACAGTCTCACACCTGTAACTCAGAAAGTGCCCTGACCTTTCCTCACCCCCTTTTCTCATGTCAGGATCTATGACTCTGTAACTCCAGTCCAGAGACGTTTAAAATGCAAACAATTGTGGTTGTGTTCACCCAAGGCTTCAAGATCACTGTGGAGGGAATAACTGATCATGGCAAAATCCCCAAGCTTAGAGAGTGACCCTTTCCTCTCTGCTAGGCTGTCTTTGCAGCAAGTTTTCAGGACTATTTGGTGTGTGTTCCATGTCAGTTCAGGACCTTTGGAAAGCATATGTCAAGATGGAATTAGTATAAGAGATTTATCAGGGCAAATGCATTTGGAAAATAAGGGGGAGGGAGCAGGATTAGGCAGAGAGAGCCATCAGACCATGATGTGGGTCTGCTGCCTATGAAGGGGGAAGAGAGAAGAGGGATGGCAGATGGCGGGGAGGGCCTGCAGTGCTGCTCTGAGGATGGGGGGAGCCCCAGGGCAAAGATTGCCCCTTAAAGGAGCCCTGTGTTGGGCAGAAATGGTGCAGTCCTGGTACCCATGCGCAGTTATCAACTTGGAGCAGCCCATGGCCTCCCTGGGAGTGAATGCTACAGCAGATCCCAAAGGAGCAGCTACCAGAGGCTTTCTGCTGCTTGAACTCCTCGCCGCCAGTTTCATCTTGACGAGATCTGAGGGAGCACCTCCATGGTTGCCACAGGCCCTGCCCTGCTGCTCGGATCTTACTTAATACAGGACACTCTAGAGCCCTGGACGACCCTGCCTTTCATGGCAGTCATCTTGTTTAGCTATGGTAACAGGAAAGAAGTCTTGTCAGTCAGCAGGACATTAGGATAGGGAGGCTCTGGGTGTATGTTCAGTAGCTCCATCTCCATGGACCCACGCTCCACTGTTTGCCACGAAACATCCTGGAGCCAAGAGGAAGAAAGCTACGCACAGGCCCAGAGCTCTACACAAACCATGTGCCCATTTGCCACCAGAAACTTGCTTCAGGTTTAAGAGAAACAGCTTCAGTTTTATTTTTCAAAAGAAAATCACTTAAACCAATTTCTATACTCTTATATGAACTGTCGCGTGAAGGAAGGAGCTCCTTAGAAATTGGTTCATTTCAATCTTCAAGAGAATCTGTCATTGTAATTCTGATTCTGATTTCTAGTGTGTCTATTGTTAGCATATACTTTACCTGCTTAGGAAAACATGAGTGTCTGTCTTTCTGTCTTGATTAGGTTTTGCCAGATCGAAGTCATCCCAAGCTACTGATGAGCGGAGGTGGGGGGTACCTTCTCTCAGGCTTCACCGTTACCATGGACAACCTTAAAGAAGACCCCAGCCTCAACTCCAACTTGAGCACTTTAGAATTACACAAGACTGAAGAGCCAGCAGCCAAAAAACGGAAATGCCCAGAGTCTGACTCTTAACCTTTTCAAAAGTTGCTTTGATTTTTTGCTCTCAGGCATGATACAGTTAGTAATTAAACTTTAAATGCCATTACTAATTGTTTTTCATATCCTAAGAATAAGATTGTGTCTATACACCTGTTCTTGGGAAAGACAAGGAAGCTTTTTGTTCACCTCTGACCAGATGGGTTTGCCCTGTCAAAACCTCAAGCCAAAACACCCAAGCCTGGAGTACGCAGTGGACTGATATATGGCCAATTCTGTTTATTTTACAAAAATTCTTTAAGTACTTGTAGTACTCTGTGCAAATATTTTGAGAATTTAGACATCCTAAAAATATATTTATACCAGACTTTGTTTATATGTTAAGCTAAATGGAATGACACAACATAGCTAAAACTTGGTGGGTACTGAAAGGAAGGAATTGGTGGAGGAACTCTCCTCTGTCCTTTCCACTCTCTTCAACCTAAGCAATACAGATGTGTGAGATTTACAGTACCAAAAATGTCGACCCTGTTCCCTGCAGTGGAAGAAACTTGTTTAAAATGCTAGATTTTATTATTTTAATAGTTGACAACCTAAAAAAGTTTTTGAGTATTTATTTTACAGCTGCTTTTGTCGATAGAAAGTGTAGTAGGGAACTTTTTTGCATTAATTTACGAATCCCCTCCATCTTTGTTCCAAATAATGTAACTAGAATTTTTGTGTACTATCCAATTAAAGGAAACAAATGGTTTTTCCCCCCCTAGAGACTTACGGAGATAGGTAGATATATATACACATATATATGTACAGTAAGTCCTCAATGTCGTCATTAAGGTTCTGTGACTTTAAGCAAAAACGACATAACAAAAGCAATTTTACCATAGGCTATTTCATATAAACAAGAGTTAAAGTTCCTATGGCATTTCATCAACATTATGGTGAAATGACATTAAACAAAATGATTTCATTCGAGGACCTGCTGTATATGCATGTTGGTATATATACACACATATATATTTATACACATGCACGTGGAGACAGAATGCACAATCTCCATGAACTATGATAAAGTTTAGTGCAGGGCTTAGACTGGTTCTCATTGCATTAGTGTCACTCCTTGTCAAATGTATTTTAAAGTGCCTTTTTTTGGTGATTATTAATGCTGGTTTGTTGAGCTCTCGCATGATTAGGTGGTTAGCCTTTCTAAGCACTGAAAAAAATAAAATTGTTTGGTCATTTGCTGCAACCAGAAGTGTTTAGAGTGAGCCAAGGCTCTCGTCCGTTTGAGCGTCAGCCTTGCTCACTAAACATGCTCATCATGTGTGTTGTTTTCGTCCTTATAGAATAGATGCAGATCACCCAGCAAGGAGCATCTCAGAAAAAAAGAAACTGCTTTTTCCTGATAGCATGTGCTATTCTGATACTGGCCAGTGTGATTACCAGCAAGTACAGTTTTGATTCCTTTTTCTTAAAACAATTGCTTTTAAAGAATAAAAGTGTTTCCTATTATGATCTGTCTGACTGACAATGATGGCAACAGTGATGCCACATTCACTGGCTTTCAGTTGATTGTGACATGTGGTGTGTGTCAGAAAACATGCTTTGATTGACACCTCACTGAACACATCCTTGCAAACAGTCATCACCCACATACAACCAGTCGTATTTGGTCAAGGGGAGCACAATACAGACTGGATTCAGTGGTGGCTGGCCTCCACTGGTCACTGTGTTAGAACCGTCTCCTATTTGGGACTCAACCAGTTTCCAGTCCCATCTCATTCCATTCAGTCTGGGGGTCTGCACTACTGAGGCCCTGTGTGCCCATGTAGCTGTCCCTGGAGTTGACTCATGGACTCATCTCACGCACCAGTAGCAAAAGTCAATGATTTTTCCCTCATGCATATAATTTAATTCCACCTTTGAGTGCTACGGATTTAGTGTGCACAGGGATCCCCTGGACTTATTAAGCACAAATGGTTGGGCCCCCTACCCCAAAGTTTTTGACTCAGTAGGTCTGGAATGGAGCATTTCTGACAAGTTCCCAGGTGATGCTGGCTCTTCTGGCCCAGGAACCACTCCTTGAGAAACACCTGTTTGTATAACCACATCGTGAGTGTAGCTAAATACACAATGTCTGCCTTGTTCATAAAGTAGACATCCACCTTTGGAGCAGATGAGTGGATGTTCTATGACTTCTGGACATCCGTCCACCAGGATAGTTATGTGAGATGCACTTTAATGAGTGCCAATCAAAAAGTAAGGACAATCACTTTGTAAAGTCCATGTTATTTCTTCATTGGATTAGGGTATTGAAAATGCACAGAAGTGCCAATTAGAGAACTTTTTATCTCAGAGGTATACTAAAATTGGGTGAAGCAAGTGTTTTTTTTAGCTTTATTAAGTTATAATTGACACAAAATATTGTGTAAGTTTAAGGTGAACGTGTGTTGATTTAATACACTTATATGTTGCAAAACCATCACCACGATAGCATTAGCTAAGACCTCCATCCCATCACATAATTACCATTTCTTTTTTGTGGTGAGAACTTTTAAGATTTCCTCTTAGTAACTCAAATACATGATACAGTATTGTTAACTATAGCTACCATGCTGTACATTAGGTCCCCTGAACTTATTCATAACTGGAAGTTTATATCCTTTGACCAACGTCTTCCCATGCCCCTTCCCCCACACCCTTCCCACTCTCCCCCACCCCAGCCTCTGGCAACCACAATATTGTGACATCACATAGTACTTGTCTTTCTCTCTGGCTTATTTTAGTTAGCGTAATGTGCCTTCAGGATCCATCCATGTTGTCACAAATGACAGGATTTCCCTTTCTCATAACTGAATAATACTCCTTTGTATATTTATATCACACCTTTATCCATCCATTGATGGACACCTTAGTTGTTTCTATATTTTGGCTATTGTGAATAATGCTGCAATGAACATGGAAATGTAGATATCTCTTTGAGGTATTGATTTCATTTCTTTCAGATGTATATCCACATACAAAAACTCTACATTTTTATGCTCCTTCCTACCTTTTATCCTTTTGATGTCACAATTTACATCTCATGTTGTGTATTAACAAATTATTGTAGTTACAGTTATTTTTAATACTTTTGTCTTAACCTTTATATTAGAATTATAAATGACTTACCTCCAATCATTACAATATTAGAATATTCTGAATTTATAGATTTGCCTTTATCAGGTGGTTTTATACTTGTCATATGTCTTTTTATTTTCTTTTAAAGATTTTATTTGGGAATTGGGGGAGGGAACAGTGTTGGGGAAGGGGAACAGACAAGTTGCTGTCCTTTTGTTCTTCAGTCTAGTTGTGGAGGACGTCGCTTCACTGGCCCAAGTTGGCACCATCATTGCACTCTTCCCGGGCGAGGCAGATCAGTCGCCAGCCACTGGACGGCCTCTCACGGCGGCTTTTGGCAGCTCACGCCAGCTGCTGGCCACTCACAGTAGTTTATGGCAGCCCACTGCAGCCCCACTGCAGCCTACACCGTCACCGGGGACTCACAGCAGCCCAGCTCCAGGTCAAGCTATTGTTCACCATCTTAGCTGTAGAGGGCGCAGAATCACTGGCCCATGTGGGATCCGAACCGGCAGCCCTGCTGCTAAGTGCTCGCGCTCCAAAGCCAACTCTTAACCAACGAGCCACTCGGCTGGCCGCTGTCTTTATTTTTTTTTTCCCCAGGACATGGGCTCATGTCCTAGTTCTTTTTCTTTTTTCTTTTTTTTATATTAGTTCCAGGTTTATAAAACAACATAATGATTAGACATTTACACCCCTCACAAAGTGATAACCCCCCTCCCCCCAAGTCTACTACCCCTCTGACACCCTATAAAGCTCTGTTACCATAAAGCTGTAGACTATTGGGTCATCGGGGAAGTCATGACGTATTTTTCTGTTTTTCAATGCAAAAATGCATCATGACTTTCTCGACCCAATATATCTTTCATATGTTTTCATGTTACTAATTAGTTAATTAGTAGCTTTCATTTCAGCTTGAAGAACAGCCTTTAACATTTGTAAGGCCAGTCTAGTGGTGATGAACTTCTAAAAGCTTTTGTTTGTATGGAAAACTCGCCTTCAATTCTGAAAAGCAACATGCCAAGTAGAGTATTCTTGGTTGGAAGTTTTTTGCCTTCAACACTTTGAATATACCATCCCACTTCTTTCTGTTGCAAAGTTTTTGCTGAAAAATCCCCTAGTAGTCATATGGGGGTTCTCTTGTAGTTAACAAGTTGCTTTTTTCTTGCTGCTTTTAAGAATTTCTCCTTGTCCTTAACTCTTAACAATTTAATTATAATGTGTCTTGGTATATGTTCATCTTATTTGGCACTCTCTGGATTTCTTGGATCTGAATATCTGTTTCTTCCTCGGGGTAGTTAAGTTTTCAACCATTATTTCTTTGAATAAGCTTTCTGCGCCTTTCTCTTCTCCTTCTGGGACTCCTATAATATGTATATTAGTCCACTTGGTGGTGTCTCATAAGTCCTTTAAGTCCTATCTTCACCCTTTTTCATTCTTTTTGCTTTTGCTTTCTCTGATTGGGTGAACTTCAATGCCCTGTTTTTGAGTTTGCTGATCCTTTTTTCTGTTTGATCTACTCTGCTGTTGAAGTTTTCATTCAGTTGTTGTATTATTTAGCTCTATGATTTCTATTTGATACTTTAGGTTTTGTATTTCTGTTAAAATCCTTACTTTGTTTATGCATTGCTCTCCTGACCTTGGAGAGCACTTTTGTGACTATTATTTTGAACTATCAGGCAAATCACTTTTCTTTGTTTTAGTAAGATCTGTTTCTGGAGATTTATTGTGTTGTTTGTTTGGAACATATTCCTTTATTTCTTCATTTTCCTTCATTCTGTATGTTGGTTCCTGCAAAATAGGTGTTTTGGGAGCCCATCCCTCAAGTGGGAGTCTTAAATGTTGGGGTACTATATGTATTTGGGGTCCAAATCCTTTTCTCCTCAGGGAGAAGCTGGGAGTTGGGGGTTTCCTCTCAACTGTTTGGCACTGTGCCCAGGGTGGTGTTTATGCCAAGAGTGTGTCTCAGCCTTTCCTACCCACTTCAATATGGGCATTTTCTCATTCATTTGATGTGTAGGAGTCAGTTTCTGGATTTCTCTCAGAATGAATTATTCAATGTATAACTGTACACTTGGTGCATCCATGGGAGGAGAGAAGTTTAGGAACTCCCCTACCCCATGATGCCATCTTGGCTCCCTTTCTCATATGAAGTAAATCTTAATGAGCAATCATTCATTTATTGGTTGCTTATGGAAAAGCCAAAAAAATATATTCTTTTTTTAATATATACAAAATTTTGAAAATGATGAGGGTGCTTGCATTTTGTTTTAAAGCATTGGTTGTAAATATTGCAAGAGCAACACTAAATACTAAAAAGCATTTCCTAAAAATCTGATCATTAAGATTCATGTGGCTCTATGTGTTCCTGATTTTGGAATGTACACATATTTCAGTGTAGTGCTAGAAAGGAACCGTGCATATATAATATCTTTACTTGAAATATAATGTTGCCTCTAGGTTAGTATTAATGTTCATAGAACAAATAACAGATTTTTTATAAATTTACCTATGTAGCTCAGATCAGATGGCAAGAAATGTGAGTCCCTGAATAGATACTTAAAGAACAACTGACAAGTTGTTAATTACCTCCCCCCGCCATTAATATTTATTAGACACTCACTGCACTGCTCTTTGGCCCTTTGTGAGAAAGGGCAAAAATCCCTGAAACATAGGAAAGTAATATCATATAACCTTTCTTCTTTTTTTTTTTTTTTTTTTTTTTTGCCTCTTTTACAG